CCCGCCTGCTGAAAACAGACAGAGGGAAGAAGGAAAGGAGATCTCTGATGGATTCAAACCCTCCTACCTTTAGTTCAGGGCACCTGAGTGGGCTCCTGCTGCTGGGAGTTGTTTATTATGCTGAGGCACTGGACACAAGAGCAGAGCCCCACCTCCAAACAGCAGACCAAGGGCAGGGATGTCCCCCTGCCCTGCCAGGCTGTGGAGCAGACCAGCAGGAGAGCTCACCTTGGCACAGGGCTCTGGGCTCTCAGGGAGACAAAGCCGGACACGACAGTGCAGGAACACCTCGGGGTAACCAACAAACTGAAACATCTGGAAGCTGAACTTGGCAGTAGTGCTCTCTCCAACGGCATTCAGGTATGTCACTGTCTCATCGTGGGGACACCTGGGACACGATGGCTGAGTCAGCAGATGGCAAACGGGGGGGAGCAGCCCAACCTGGGACACCAGAGCACACAGGGACCTGGTGCAGCCCCCAGGAGTGTTTCTGTTTCGGTGCTGGTGCCTTTCCTTGGCACCCCGCGTTGTGCACAGCTCAGGCAGGAGCTGCCACCAGCACAGGAGCTGCCACCAGCACAGGAGCTGGCTTGTGTCATTGCTCTATGGGGACACAGCCGCTCTGCAGGGGTGGAGTGGGCCTGGCTGTGGCTCCCACTTCACAGATATCCACATTACTGGCTTCAGCTTGACTGCAGCCACCTCTAACACAAGCTCTTCAGAAGCAGAGACCTCTCTGCACACCCCAGCAAGGTCTCTCGCCTCCCCTCCTTGCCCTTTGCCTCCCCAGCTGGTCAGGAGAGATGCTAGAGGGAAGGCAGCACTACTGGCAGCAGAGCAGGGTCAGGGACTCAGCTCAGAGCAGTTATGGGCCTGTTCCACCTGTTCAATGATGGTGTCCACTACAGGTTCCACCTATGGGCAGTGACTGAGCATTGCTCATTGCTCCCTCACAGCAACCTGTCCTTAGCACCCAGCAAAGAGACACAACTGTGCTCATGGTGCAAGGAGACCAGATGCACCCCACTCACCCATTCTCAATCAGCTTATGCTGCATGTCCTGGTAGGGATCTGTGGTTGGTGTGGCCCAGCAGTCCTCAATGCTCAGCAGAAAGTACTTTTGCTGGTCCTGTCCTTCTATCTTCAGCAGGACATAAAGCATGTCTGTGATGGGGATGGCTGCAGCTGGCAGGTGGTAGGGCTGGAGGTAGGAGAGCGTCTTGTACAGTCTCATGCTGACATTAAATTGTCCTTCTCTGACCACGAACTGCACCACTCTGAGAGGAGAGAAGGAGAGCTCACAAGCAGAAGGAGAAGGCAGGAAGGATGTAGTGCAAGTCAGGCCCCGGTGAAGGTGCACTGACTCTGGACATGCCTCTGCTCACGGCTGGAGCTGCCCTGGCTGGTGTGTCTCCACTGTGTGCAGACAGATGCAAGGAGCTCCAGGGGTTTCCACTGATGGGCTGGCCAGTGAGGGCTATGAGCAAGGCAGCCCAGGGGGTTGTCACCTGCACCTCCATGGGGGCATGGTGGGGGTAACTTCCAGTTCCCACCCTTCATTTTGTGGTTAGTTGGTTTCAAGTAGGGAGTATGGGAGAAAGTCAAATTCTGTGTGCCCCTATTTGGCTCTTCCCCCAGCCCAAACCTTGTGTTGAGAAACACTGGGAAGAGAAAGGGAGGCACTCTGATGTGGCATTGCCCTCAGAGCTCTCTAGTGGCTCCCCAGGACCTTTGCAGGTCATCTCATTGAAGGCATCTGTTTTTCTGTAAGCTCAAAGATACCATGTCACCAGCAAGGTGAGGAGGGACCACTCACTTGTCAACAGCCGTGAGAGCAAAGGGCAGTTTCACCACCTGCTCATAGGCGTAGATGCAGGAGAAATGTACCTCCAGCTGAAAACTCCGGGAGATCACGCCCCTGTGTGCTTCCTGCTCTGACTCAATGACATTGGAGTACAACACATGGGAGCTGTTTTGCTGGAATGACACAGAAATCAAGTCTCCAGGCTATGTCTAAGTCCACACACAGAGCTCCAAGCTCCAGTTCAGATGGTGCAACTCAGCTACGGCTGGG